TTGCTGTGAAAAAACTTTTAAGTATGATGTAATTCCATATATTTATTTTTTCTTTTACTTTTCTTGCCCAAGGGGATATATCTGTAAAAACATTACTCAGGGTAATGTCTGCAAATTTACTCCCTGTATTTTCTAGGAGTTTTATGGTTTCAGGTCTTAAATTTAAGTCTTTAATCCATTTTGAATTTGTTCTCATATATGGCGTAATTTTAGTTTAATTTTTTTGCATCAGGTTCAGTTGTCCCAGCACCATTTATTAAATAGACTGTCTTTACCCCAATGTAAATTCTTGCTTCCATTGTCATAGATTAAATAACCATATATGAATGGATTTATTTCTGGGCTCTCTATTCTGTTTCATTGATCTATGTGTCTTTTAATGCCAGTACCAGTCTGTTTTGATTACTATAGCTTTGTAGCATGAATTCATGTCAGGTAGCGTAATGCCTCCTACTTTGTTCTTATTTCTCAAGATTGCCATGGCTATTCGGGGTCTTATAAGGTTCAGTATAAATTTTAGGATTATATGTTTTATTTCTGAGGAAAATGTCTTTGGTAGTTTGATAGGAATTGTGTTGAATCTATATATTGCCTTAGGCAGTATGGACATTTTAACTATATTAATTCTTCCTATCCATGAACATGGCATATGTTTCCATTTATTTGTATCTTCTTTGGTTTCTCTCTTCAATGTCTTATAATTTTCTGAGTTTAGGTCTTTTACTTCTTTGGTTAAATTTATTCCTAGGTATTTTATTGTTTTTGAAGCAATTGTTAATGGGATTGACCTTTTGATTTCTTTTTCTGATAGTTTATTATTGGTGTATACAAATGCAACTGATTTCTGAATATTAATTTTGTATTCTGCCACTATACTAACTTTATTAATCAGTTCTAATAGTTTTTTTTGGTGATATCTTTGGGGTTTTCTATATATATTATCATGTCATCTGCATATAATGACAATTTTACTACCTCCTTTCCAATTTGGATGCCTTTTATTTATTTTTCTTGTGTGATTGCTATGGCTTGAACTTCCAGAACTATGTTGAATAAAAATGGTGAAAGTGGGCAGCCTTGTCTTGTTCCTTATCTTAAGGGGAAAGAGTTTTGCCTTTCCCCATTGAGTAAGATGTTAGTTGTGGGTTTATCACATATGGCCTTTATTATATTGAGATATGATCTCTCTATTGTCACTTTGCTAAGAGTTTTTATTATACATGGCTGCAGGATTTTGTCAAATGCTTTTTCTGCATTTATTGATATGATCATATGATTTTTATTTTTGATTTTGTAATGTATTGTATCACGTTAATCTATTTGTGGATATTGATCTAAACTTACATACCAGGAATGAATCCCACTTGATCATCATGTATGTTCTTTTTAATGTGGTGCTGAATGCAGTTTGCTAGTGTTTTGTTGACGATTTTTGTGTCTATGTTCATTAGGGTATCAGCCTGTAATGGGGTTTTTTTTTGTAATGTCTTTATATGGTTTTGGGATCAGAGTAATAGTGGCCTCATAAAATGTGCTTGCGTGCCTTACCCCATTCTGGATATTTTGCAATAGTTTGAGGAGAATAGGTGTTAATTCTTTTTTGAATGTTTTGTATAATTCATCTGTGAAGCCATCTGGTCTAGGACGTTTGTTTGTTGGGAGCTTGTTGATTGCTAATTTCAATTTCTTTGGTAATATTCGGTCTGTTCAGAGTTTCTGTTTCTTCTTGATTCAGTCTTGGACCACCTTTTGTCTTGTGATTGGAGCTTTTAATCATTTTACATTGAAAGCAATTGTTGATAGATATGTACTTATTGCCATTTTAGTATTCATATTTTTCAAATTTTATTTCTTCTTCTTTTAGAAGCCTCTTTAACATTTCTTGTAATACCTGTTTGGTGTTGATGAACTTCTTTAGCTTTTTCTTGTCTGGGAAGCTCTTCATCTGTCCTTCATTTCTAAATTGTAGCTTTGTTGGATAGAGTAATCTTGGTTGTAGGTCCTTGCTTTTTATCACTTTGAATATTTCCTGCCACTCCCTTCTTGCCTGCAAAGTTTCTGTCGAGAAATCAGCTGACAGTCTATGGGAGTTCCCTGGTGGATAACAAATTGCTTTTCTCTTACTGGTCTTAAGATTCTCTCTTTGTCTTTATCCTTTGGCACTTTAATTATAATGTATCTTGGTGTAGGCTTCTTTGGGTTAATCTTATTTTGGATTCTCTGTGATTCCTAGAGTTGTATATCTATTCCTGTCATCATGTTAGGGAAGTGTTTTTGTTATTATTTCTCCAAGTAGGTTTTCAATCTATTCCCCCCCCCCTCTCTCCCTTTCCCTCTCCCTCTCCCTCTCTCCCTCCCTCCCTCCCTTCCTCCCTCCCTCTTTCCTTTCTTCTGCTTATGGTATCCCTATGATATGAAAGTTGGTATTCTTGATGTTGTCCAAAAGCCCCTTAATCTAGTCTCATTTCTAAATAATTTTTTCCTTCTTTGGATTGGGATTTTTATGCTACCTTGTTTTTCAAATCGCTGATTTAATCCTTGGCTTTTCTAATCTACTGTTGATTTCATCTAATGTATCCTTCATTTCAGTTATTGAATTGTTCATTTCGACTAGTTGTTTTTTAGGTTTTATATCTCCGTTTTTATGTTTCCTGTTTATTAAAATTCTCACTGAGATCACTGAGCATCCTTATAACCAGTGTTTGGAACTATACTTATCTCCATTTCATTTAATTATTATTCTGGAGTTTTATTCTGTTCTTTCATTTGGAACATAGTTCTTTGTCTACTTATTTGGCTGACTCCCTGTATTTGTTTTTATGTGTTAGGTAAATCTGCTATGTCTCCTAGTCTTGGTATTGGCCTTATATAGTAGGTGTAGTATGTAGTAGGTGTCCTTTGTGGCCAAGTGGCACAGTCTCCCTGTTCACCTAATAGGGTGCTCCCTGTTTGTCCCTTTTGTGGGTTCTGGGTGCTGTCCTGTTGTAGTTCAACCTTGATTACTGTTTTGATGTCAGTGGGGGTGACTGACCCTCAGGCTGCTTGGCTATGAGGAATGGCCATGACTATAGTGAATGAGCTATTGTGAAGATTGCAACTCCATGAAACAGGATTTGCTTTAGCAGGGCTCATGCCTACAGAGTCTACCTTTTGGGTTTGTCATTTGTGAAACTGGTTGGATGGTCCTCTGTTGTGGTCTGAAGCCAGCCATCAGGTATGTCATTTCATGGGCCTCTTGGGTGGGGCTCTGGTGCAAGCCAAGGTCAGCCACTACTTATGTCTGGCCTGGGCCCACCTCATAGGTACAAAGTGACCTGGAGAGGTTTCCATGCCCCTGGACTTGAATGTACTTGGGCAAGGCTAAGCTGAGAACCGAGACCAGCTGCCACTAGTTTAAGGCCACTTAGCAAGAGGTTTGGGGGCACACTGAGATCCAATGCTGCTTGCTTGGGGTTTGTCAACTTTTGCGAAATTTTAGGAAAGTTCACAGCTTGAGCTCAGACAAGAAGTTTGTGTGGAAAAGCTGCTGGAAAAGGTTCATGTCAGGTGTGTAAAATGGCTGGGGCAGGGTCTCAGGGAATCACCAGGGTGGGGCAAAGGGTGATAGCCAGTTTAATGGAGAGCTCTAATATGGTGCCCATCTGCCCCTGCATACTGGGTGGAGGGAGGGTTCAACAAAGGAGCAGTGGAGTCTTCCAGCACTTCTTTCTCTAGATTGAGTTTTCCCAAACCCTGACCCTCCAGCTCTCACTCTATAGTTAGTAAATTTAGCTCCTCTCCTTATGTCCCTGGTGCTTTTTGAGCTGCTTTCCCAGTGCTGGAGCTCAGAGCGAATGAGTTTGAGTGAGTTATCTGTGTGTGGGCTTTTTAAGAGGAACGCCTAAGTCTCCAGTAGCCTTCTATCTCACTCACCAGCAATCCTTGCTGGTTTTCAGAGCCAGATATTTTGGGGATATTTTTCCTTGGCACTGAAGCCCTGGTCTGGGGAGCCTGGTGTGGGGCTGGGACCCCTCACTCCTCAGGGGGACCTATGCAACTAAAATATCTCTACCATTTCTTAATTGTACACCATGGGTATGCAGCCTACCAATTTCGTGTCTCTGCCCCTCCTACCGGTCTCTGCATGGGTTCTTCTTTATATTCCTAGTTAGAGGAGTTACACTCAGCCAGTTTTCAGGTGGTTCTCAATAATGGTTGTTCTGTAATTTAGTTGTATTTTTGATGTGGTCATGAAAGGAGGCAAGCACAGTGTTTATCTACTCCACCATCTTTACTGGAAAGCTATTTGCTCTTATTTATAACTCACCTTTTTTAAAAATATATTCCTAATTATGAATTGTTGTAAGTCAGTAACAAAGTTATAAGAAATCTTTGGTTTATAGAGCAATGTAACAGGTATGAAGTCTTTTAAATCTAGTTTATGTTTAAAATTTAGGCTAGGGAGAAAGAGAAGTAGCATATGATTAGATTTATCACACAAATACTCTTGAATTGTACTTTTGTTCAAGAAATCATGAAGACTAAGAAAACACTTAACATTATCAATTTTCTTGATATTGATATATTTTATAGGTATTGCAGTTTTCTTCATAGTTATCATGATGCCTTCACTTTCTTGCCATTTACACAGATAGTTATATGGTATTTAATGTATATGCATATGTTTGTATAAGTATATGTTTGTTTACATACACACAGATATTAGAAGCCTAAATCTGTTTTAATGACTGGATGGACTGCTGGTTTTAATAAAATGTTTTATTATACTAACAAAACTGATTTAATAAACAAGAAAAAATAAAAGTTGACATTTAGGCATCTGAGTTTTCATCTGTGTTATTTGTCATTTTGCACACCCATTTGGTAAGGCAAGGTTGCATTGTCTTGATCACTCAGCCATATCTGTTCTCTCCCTGTCATATTTGTGTATTTCCTTCCCCTGATCTCCAGCTGTCAGTCACTTACTTCTCAGTTTTCACAGTGTTTGTGATTCCCCACAGCTGGCCCATTGGAAGAAGAGCGGTTTGGCTTCCCTGCATTCAGTGGTATTTCTCGACTGACCTGGTTGGTTTCTCTCTTTGGAGAGCTTTCTCTTGTGTCTGCCACTTTGGAAGAGCGAAAGGAAGATCAGTATATGAAAATGACTGTGTGCTTGGAGACAGAGAACAAACGGTAAGTTGTGAGAAAGTGTGAGGAGAAGGACACTTAAGGACATTGTCCTGTGTTCAATGAAGTGAATCTAGAGAGATCCCAAAAGGCCAATACCCCCAGCCTCAACTCCAGAAGGGCTGTCTGCTTTGGCAGACCAAAGAGGTACTAAGCTTTCACTTATATTGCCTTATTTCATCCTCACAGCCCTGTAAGATAAATAAGACAAACATGGTCCCCTTTGCTAGTAAGTAAATAGAGGCTTACAGAATTTGAGCAGGTTGCCTAAGCCATACAAGTGAGCAATATCAGATCTAGTAGCCTCTGTGACCTGAATTTTTTCCAACATTTTATTGTGAAAGTTTCAGACATATGGTGAAGATGAAAGAATTTTGCAGTGAACACCCATACAATTACCACCTAGATCCTGCTATTAATGTTTTACCCTGCTTGCTTATCATGTGTCCAAATATTCATCCCTTGGTGTGACGAAAATGTAAGGTTCTATTTATCAGCTTTATGATCACATCATAGTGTTCCCAAAATGTCCTGATTTTTCATTTCTCATACCAAGTTTTTTTCAACAGAAGTATATTTACAAATTTCTTTGAAAAGCATTTCAGCTCTGTAAAGTAAAACAGCAAGGGTTTTAAAGTGTTTCTATATGTGTTTTCCAGGTAGGTGGATCTTTTGGTAGTAAAATAAACAGACCATTGGGTGTTTACAAAAAGAGAAAAATATTTAAGTCTGTGAATGAAGCCTGATCAATGTGCATTTTCAGGTGTATCCTCTTTGCAAGGGAAAGGCAGAGGTCACAAATGAAGGTAAAACATGCAGGCAGAGCTTAGAAGTGCCACATGTGGAGTGAGAGCAGTGGTGGCCCCTGTCTGTAATTCTAACCATGTAGAATCACAGCCATGGTCATACCTGTCCACAGACAGGTGCTGTCCCCTGTATTCAGAACTAAAGGTATTTCAAGATGCTGCAAGAGTGCAAGGAAGAGGAAACTGGAGAGGTCAGATCACACTTCGTAGAGGAGGAGGTGCTATGCTCAGTCTTGAGATTTGAATAGGAGTCAGGAAACAAGTTGTGAGGGAAGCAAGGCTGACTCTCATTATTACAAAGGGGAGGCAAGTATCAGGTGAGGGGTTGGGACAGATGGCAAATACCTTATTGTAATTTCTTAAATTCATATAATACTTTCCACCTCACAAATTGCAATTTTAATCTCACACCATCACTACAACATAGGTAAAGTTATGTACTTAATATTTATTTTTACTGATTAGGAAATTAAGGTAGAGGAAATATCCTGACATTTTTGAATTCCCTCAAATTCTAACACTCTATATGATATGGAAGAACATGAGAAATTTTCTTAGGTGAATCAGAATATTTGGAATATCTCAAATTTGTTTTTATTTGATGTTACTAAATAGCATTAATATTAATCTTTGTCATCATATTTGGGAAGGTTTGTAAAGATTGTACCATGAGCTTTTAAAACCAGCCATAGTTTGAAACTAATATGTTAATTGTCAACACTACCTCAATAAAACAAAACAAGACAAACATGCAAAAAAAAAAAACTAGCCATGGGAATTAATTTTTTATAAGTTAGTCCACTTTTTTGTTAGAGTTTGTAATAATCATTTATTTTTTTAAAATTTGAGTCATAACCAAAAAATTTTAGTTAATAAATTGAGCACCTTAGTTTTACTAGTTTACTAATTTAATTACTTTTACTAGATTCTTTGCCTGCCCTGAATATGAACTTTTGATTTACAGGTTAGCATTGATTCATACATGGATCATTTTAACAACTTACAGAATAGGAAACTTGCTGAACTGCCCTGCTTGGTTTACATGCCCCATGGTATAAGTATGTGATGTGACAAAGTCATGCCTTCCTGTCCTGTGAATGCAGCTCTAGCTTCTGGCTTTGCTTGGGCCTCTTTTCTCTCTCTCCCCCAAAGTTTATCTCAATCTGTAGGCCAGAAGTTATTCCAGCTATAAGTAAATGTGTTTTCATTGCTTGTTAGTACACATTAGGATCCTCTGCCAGTTGTTTCCAGACACAATTTCTTAAGTTATAGCTACCTTCAAACAACAGTGGCATGGAGCAGAACCCAGCAGGGGAATGGGAAGAGAGGAGGCATGATCTTGAAAGGTCACAATAAAAGGACTAGCAAGACGGGTCATTACTTGAAACTCTGTTGTATAAGTGATAGTATTAGCTAATGTTTATTGAGTGCTTACTATGTGTCAGGTACAGGCTTAGAACTTTTACAGGGATTTTTTAATTTAATCTTTACACTAACTCTCTTAAGTGGGTATTGTTATCAACTAGGAAACAGACTCAGAGAAGTAAAAAAACTTGCCAAGGGCACAGGGCTGGCTTTACTTTGTCACTGAAGGGCAAAAGTGATTGTGTGAGAATCACATTTAATCACACTTAGGCAGCCTATCTCCAGTCCCCAAATCATCATACCTCTCGAAAAATACACAGGAATGTCATGAGAAAGGAAAACCATGGAAAACAGCCTTATCTTTACCTTACCATAGTCCTCACCTGTCAGTGAGGTAGGCATCATTTGCCTCAGATCCCAGAGTAATCTAGGAAATCCTAGTGCAACTTACTCTCAAGTCCATGTTCTTTGCATTTTACCAGCAGTTTTCAAACTATGTAAAAATAAGTATTAGAACACTTTTTCACCCAAATCTTATGTGGACAGCCAGTATATAGAAGAGGTACAAGTTTCAACTCCTATTGAAGCCAGTTGGTAGGAGTGGTGCCAAAGCCATGCATGCTCCTGCTTCCTTGTCCTTCAGGAGTGAAGAGCACTGTCAGAAAATGGCCACTGCCACTATTCTTGAAGACACATGCTGTGTTGCTGGGGTCCTACCTCGGCGTTCCAGTGAACAATACCTGAAGTGGGGGTCGAGGTTTAAGGAAAAAAAGAGACAAAGAGACAAAGAGGGTCCAGGAGGACTGGAAGCATTCTTAGCAACCAGCCACGAGTTTATTTTTCTTCCCCATTATATACC